TTCATATATATACATTTTTAGTTCTTTGAACTTTTAAGTTGAGAAATAAAAAATATACATATATTATAAGTTGAATGATTAAAATTTTGTATATTTACAAAATTTAACATACCAACTAATAGAAAAATTAAAAAATATATATTTTTCATAAATAAAGGACTAAAAAATATAAAAAAAAATTAAGAGACAAAAATTTTACAAATTTTAAAGTTGAGTAACTAAAATTGATATTTAAGCTTAATGAAATAATTCTGTAGTGATGGACGGTCACCATTCGTCCCTCAAAATCAACCTTGGAAAGTGCTTTGTATGGTTGCATTAGGCGCCAATCACCTCAAGGCTTGGTGGTAAAACCAGTGTTTTGTGATGGCAAGATATTGGGTTCCAACTCAGCAGTTGTAACCAATTCCGCTACCCCCACCCCAATGTTTAAATGCCTTCGCTTGAAAAAATTTTTTTTTGTTGTTAACTAGTTTGGCTTGAGGAAGAAGAGTGGATGATAGCATTCAGAGATCAGGTGCTCTTATTTTAATTAATTAAATTAAATAATTGAGTTAATAAAATAATTTGATTGGTTATAATAAGTTTCTCTTTCCTCCTGTCTTTTTAATGAAATAATTTGATTAATTAATGAAATAATTATTAGTTATATGACCTTGTTTAAGAGTACTATGTTGTGTTATGCTATTAATTTTTTATAGTATATTGTTCCAAAAATATATGTAAATTAATTTTAAATAATAAATAATTTTTTGAATATATACTTTAAAGATACGTATTAAGAGTTTAATTATTATGCAATTATACCATTAATTTATATGAAAAATTATAAAAATAAATTTTATTTTCAACACTAATATTACATAAAATGATTTAATTAAATAATTAATAAAATGTAAATTAATTTTTATTTTTTATATAAATTAATAATAAAAAAATAAATATACCCATAACTAGCAACTAACAACAAATGTTAAAAAATTCCATAATAAATTTATTTCTTTAAATAAAATACTGCAGGAAAGAAAACGGTAAGAGTCAAACGAAGCCAATAATTGTACGAGACAATTGATTTTTGTTTTTTTTTCTTAAAAATATATAATATTAAATTATTATCTGTTAAAAAAACAAATCAAGTCTGAAGACAACCAACAAACTAAAATACGTTTCACCTACTTCTCGCTTTAAAAACGCATTGCCATCGCTGCAGCCACGCGGAGGAATGTAGACAATCGATCTTTGTTGATTCTTATAGTCTGTAATCTTTTCTCGGGCTTACCCTCCTGAGCGGCTGAGCCCTCCTCCAACTTGTTGTCTTTGGGATTGTTAACCCCTGATATATAATATAAGAAAATTGGGCCCTAAATTACGCGTGATAAAGGTGATTGACCCAAAATGCACGGGAGCCGTCACTTGGCCGTCATTATTCCATTAACCCATGTACTGTCAGCACTTTTCTTTTAGGGGAATGATTTTATAATAATTTTTTTATTAATTTTTATATAATTTAATATATTATTTAAATAATTAATTTTTATAATTTATATAAAATTGTAATATTAAATGTATTTATTTATTTAATGATATATAAAAATTATAACAAAAAATGATATAAAAAATTATTCTTATGACATCATTCTTTCTTTTTTAGTATTGCTAGCATTGTAATTAAAAAAATAATTTAAAAATATTTTTTTACTATTTTTTAATATAATTTTATGTATTATTTAAATAATTAATTTTTTTTATTTATTTAAAACTCATGATATTAAATATATTTATTTATTTAATGACATATAAAAATTATATAAAAAATTTTTTCTTATATAATATCCCTTTTAATTAATTTGATATAAATATAAATAAAATAACAAATTAAAAATTAATAAACTAATTTCAAAAATACAAAAGTACAAATGTACCCTTAACCATTCTTCTCCTTCAAGGCTTCAACCCTTCCCCTTTGCTCTCCCAACAGTGCTTTTTCATAGAATCCCCGTTATTAACACCACAATCATCCTCAATTTCAATTTTATCTAAAAACAAAAGAAAAGTACAAAGAAGTGCAGTGAGTAATCTTCTCTAATTCATTCTCTCTCTCTCTCTACATAGCTTCATTGTTCAAATCAAAATTTATTCCATATCAGATATAATTTTATGTCTAAAAAAATTAAACTCAAAAAAATACCTAGGATCAAATAACAATTTTATTCCTTTCAAATTTCCTGTACAAATTCCTTAGCTCCTCTTTCTTTGTTACCAAGCCTAAAACCTTTTTTGATTTTGTTAGGGAGTTGGCTTAATATTGGCCAAAGGTTCAACAAAAACCCAAAAGCAAAGATAAGTAATAATGATCCACCCACGCGACCAATAATTAACAAATGAATCAATCCAATAATGATATGTGGTATTGGTGTCATAAATGAAGATTATAAATACTCCTCATTTACCTCTATTAAAGATAAAAACTCTATTATACTTCTTTTTAAGAGTTTTTCTTTCTAAGGTAATTAAATATTGCTAACCTAAGTATTAAAATGTCTTTCCTAAAAATATTTCCTATAGATTTTTAGGTATTGTAACAGTTCAAGCGCTTAACCATACATGAGCTTGTGAAGTTGTCCAAATGGATTCCTAGTTTGTTTTTCACCCGACTTGAGCTCTTGGTGTGGACTTAGATCTGCTATTGTTGAAGGGACATAAGGGGAGGGGAGAGAGATAGAGAAGAGAAAAGAGAGAATTTGGAGGTTTGGTAAAGGAGAAAGGCAACTAAAGAAAAGGGAGAGCAAAGGGAGGAAGGAAGATGAAGAGGGTGAGAGAAAGGGGAGCAGAAAGAGGAAGAAGAAGAAATTTTTTTTTTCTATTTTGTTTTTTTATGTATATGTTTTGTTTTTTTATTTAATTACATTTATTTATTAATTATTTGGTTAATCCACATAATATTATAGTTACATAATATTATAGTTATAATATTATGTAAAATT